GGAAACAAGGGAGAAAAGACTTGAGAAACCAAAGGAAAGGAAACATGACAGCAGAACAATGAACCTGCCTGACTCTCCCAGGGAGAAGGTTACAGCTTCCATTGAAAATGTCCTTTGAAGGTAGTTTTCACTATAAACAGATTTTGCTGCCATGTCACAGGAAAACTGGGAAGGAACCAAATCAAAACATACTGGAAACAATTCCTCAGGAAGAGCTGCTGAGCAAAGCCCCCTTGCGAAGTGGCTGGTGCCCCGTGGTTTCAGCTGCTCCGGGTGCAGCCCCAGGTCTGTGCATCCTGCAGGCTGTCTATGGGAGGCTTTGTGTCTGCAGATAGCCCTGGCAGAAGTGGCTTTCCTGTCTCTTGCTGGGAGATGCTGAGCTTACCCTGTTCCCTGCCTGGTGCATTATCGTTGTTTTTGAGTGAAGGCTCAGAAATGCCATTAATTTCTTCTCACTCTGCAATTCCCATGACACCCAGGTCAAGCCTGTATGAATTTCTCTTTGTAGATTAGTTAAAGAAAATTCCTTCTGCCCTGTTTTTTACCCTGGTTTTTAAAAGACAGCCTCCTAATTGAACCTGCATTTCAGAGGCTGGTAGGCACAAGCCCACACAGTGGGCTTTAGTGCATCTGCACTAAAAGGCTTGGTCTGTGGTTCCTGTGGGTATGCAGGAGGCACTTTCTGTCATAGCCTGGGGGATAAGTAAGGTGCATCTGTTTAACTTAAAGAACACTATACAAGAAAGAAATGAAACATTTGCCCATGTTTAGGAAGGGGATGGTGCCTCTGGCAGGCCACCGCAGCTCTGCGTAGCCACGTGAATGGCTTTTGGCAGGGCTGGGAGAGGAGTCCTACCTTCCCCAGGGTGGTGGAGCTGCCTTGGGGTGGTTTGGCACTGCCTGGGAGTTGCCTCCCCAGCCACCCCAGGCTGGACACAGCCTGCTGCATCACCGAAAGAGCTTTGCTGTGTCCCTGTGGGCTGGTGGCTCTCCTTGCCCTTCCTGGCCCTTGATCTCCAGACCAGGCTGTTTCCTGGAGGGGCGCCTGGCAGGTTCCTCCCAGCCTCTTCCTGCCCCTGACTCTCTTTTTCTCTCTCAGTCCACCGCCAAACCTCGCACCACATCCATCATCCGCTTTCCGCTCACCTCCCTTCTGCCCTCAAGTTCCAAAAGAGGCCCCCGCGTGCCGGCAGGAGGAAAAAAAGGAGGAGGAAAAAGAAGAAAACCTCGGTACCCCCCTCGGAGGTGACCCCCACCATCCAGGAAGAGGACGAGGAGGGGGGAGAAGAGGAGGAAGAAGAAGAAGAAGAGGAAGAAGGAGAGTCTGAAGCAGAGGAGGCCCAAGAGAAAGAGATCTCTGCAGAGTCTGAGGGTGAAGCTCGTGGGAAGGACACATCCCCTAAGCTGGAGCTCTCAGGCAAACCAAAGGCAAGGCTAGGGCATCCCTACCTGGATGGGGCTCGGAGGCTGGGGGCAGGTGGAGGGGGGGTTGATGCCAGGGGGGTGCCAAGGTGTATGGTCATGGGAGTGTGCTGCTTGGGGGGAAGAGGTTGTGTCTATGCAATACTGTGGTCCCTGCCTAGCAGGGGTGGGTGCTGGAGGACAGTGACAGACAAGCCATTGCGTGGGGTGGATGCTGGGGAGGGTGTGCATGACCATTTTGGGGGTGTAAGACCCATGGAGGAAGATCAGTGTGTCTGTTCTTAGGGTGTATAGGATATGGGGGGCTCAATGTGGCCAGTCCCAGGGTATGGGGCACATGGGGGAAGTTGGTGTGGCCCTTTCTAGGCTGTGGGAATGTGGAGAGGATCTGCATGTCAGGGGCTGGGGCGAAGGCTGCCTGTCCCGGCTCTTGCTGTCAGGACTGTCGTCTCTGCAGTTCACCATCGGCAGCGATGAGGAGGATCCCAGCGGTGCTCTGGCCCCGGCGCAGTTCCATGTGGAGGAGGAGTGTGGCATCCTGTGCCCCGTGCCACACTTCGCTGACCTGCTGCAGGACAAGGGCCCCGCGTCCCTCTGCAGGCAGGTGAACGTGTGCCGACGTGCTGCGGAGGGAGAGCGGCTGCGAGCAACACCGTCGGTCTCTTTGGTTCCTACAGCCTCCCCGGGCCTCGGGAGCGTCTGTCTCGTGGGTGGGAGAAGCGCAAGCCCTGGGGCCAGGTGGCGAGCGGACAGCGGGTCACCTACGACCTGAAGGAGAGGATGTGCATTGGCAGCATGACCACGCTGGAGAGCGCGGCGTACCAGCGCGTCCCCACGGACGAGGCCGAGGCCCAGATGCTGGCGTCCGCTGACTTGGATGGCATGAAAAGTGAGTTTTTGCGACACTACCTGTGCTACTAAGTGCGCGCGTCCCTTGCTTCTCCCTGCTTTGCCCTCTTCCCTATCAGCCCTAGGCATGGTCTCCAGCCTGCCCAGAGGACCTGGTCCTCACCTCCTTCTCCCCCAGCCCCCACTGTTGCGGCCCTGGCTCCTCTCTGCCGGCTTTGCAGTATCCACAGCGCTGGTCCCCGTGTTTCCAGCACCCCTGCTCACACCTGCCCCACAGATGCTTGCTCCTACACCCGCCCCACTACCCTCTCTGGTTCAGGGCTCCCTGCGAGTCCCAGAGAGCCAGCTCTCTCCTCTCCTGACACACTTTCCCAGCGATCAGCCCTCTGTGCAGCACGCCGGCTCCAGCGTTGCAGAAAACCCGAGATGAGGAGTCTCTGTTCTCCGGGAGGGGAGGCAGCGGCCGGCTCCAGCGCCTCGGAGGGGGACTGCCCCTGTGCGAGACGCGAGGGCAGAGACGTCATGGAAATGCACGCTGCGGGCCTGAGGACATGGAGAATTCAATAGGTTGCTCTGCAGGCTGGAGAGGGAGGGAGACAGCGGAGGGGAGCCAGGGAGAGGAGCGGTGCTGCACGCACAGCCTGGCTGTCCCTGGGCCACGGGCGCCGCGTCCCTGGGCAGCTGGCGCAAGACCCCACGGCAGAGCGACGACCCTGCTTCTGAGGAGCCGGTGGGGCAGTGCCCCACGGAAGCATCCCTGCGTGGAGCCAGGCTTCCCAGGACCATGTCAGTCCCCAGGGGCTGCTGCAGCCGGCACCTTCATGCCCCGTGAGGAGGAGAGCAAGGCACCGGGGCTGGCCCCGGGTCTGCGGTGAAGATCCCCCAGGGGCAGCTCGCTTTCGGCACGTCAGCCTGGCTACCCCAGCTCCTCTGAAGGCGAGTGGCTCAGGGCGCCTGACCCCTGACCTTCACAAGGACAAAATGACAACCCTTCAAGAGAGAGAGGAGGTGGCGAGGGAATCGGAAGGGGGCAGCAGCCCGGAGGTAGCAGTAAGCACCTGTGTTCGCAAGTCACTCGGCTATGAAGACTTGGATGAATTTGCCTTCAGTTTTGAAGACTATGATTTATGGGAGTCCATCAGAAACCATCTGGGCTACCCAGGCGGGGAGCCCACCTGTAAGTACCGGAGCAGTGACCCCAGGGTTGCAGCTGTAGATCAGAGCCCCCAGCTGAAGTGCGTATCCCTGGCCCTGTGGCTGCTCTGTGCACGCTCTCCGTGTCGGGTTGGTCTCCTGGGTTAAAACAGGTACTGTCTGCCCCACCGTGTGCCCGGAGCAGCTGTCTGCTGTCTGTGTGTCTCTCTGAGGTCTTTGTACAGATCTGTGTTGTAGTGCTGAGGTGCTTCCCTGTTTGTGTCTCGCTCCAGCGTTCTTGAGGCAGATGCCTCTTGCTGTTTGTGCTTATCAGGACACGGCCCATGCTGTGGCTGGAGAAAAAGCAGCTGCTCTGAGGTGTGTATGAGGACAGAGACATTTCCCCTTCGATCTGTGGCACAAGGTGACAGTGTGCTGCTGCTCTGTTTGCTGGAATTCGAGCTGAGCTGTGGATCCGACAGCAGCAGTCGGCATCAGGTTCTTGGCTCTGCACTGTAGCCTAATGTCCGGAGGAAAAAATAACCTAGTCCCTGTGTCTGCCGGCTTGAGCGTGGCTGGGAAACGAGCGAATGGTAGGCTGGCGGGGGTGCCTGGAAGGGGGAAAAGAGGAAGGAAGCAAGAGTTGGAAA